CCCCCCCCCCCCACCCTCTTGACGAAGGACTTTGAAATAAAATTATTGTCCTAGCCCTCGGAAAAATGCTCTCCCCCCCCCAAAGCCCTTAGAAAAATTCATTGATCGACGTATATCCCTTCAGAAAATTTGCCCCACAAGTCTAATAGTGTTAAGAATTTTTTCTTCTCTGCTGCTTATAATACCCTCAGAAAATCTGGCCTTCAGTCCTATAACCTTCAGAAATTCCTTTTTTGTACACATCTTCTGAAAAGTTTTTGAACAGGGGGCTGGGGTGGGGGTGGGGGTTATATTTAATGGGGTGGCTGTAGATCAGACCATCAGACCATTCTCCGGGTAACCACTAAGAGTAAAGATCAAACAGAAAAACAGCAAAAGCTAGTTTTAATAATGCACTTTTAAAGGCGTTAATGCAAATAATGTGTAGGTGTTTTGCATGTGTGTTGGATGCTTTTCTAGCTCTGAGGTGTACTGTACAAGATGCGTAGTAACTGTTATTATTTTCATGCTGAATTCCGTGCACCACACCTCTGATTTACATACATTTAATTGTATATGGGCATAGCTAACAAAAACAAGTAGAAAGACAAAGCAACAGAACCAAAGGAAATGTAGAACCTCCATTTCAGTATATTGACATAGTATTTATCCTTTTTTTGAAGAGAGAGGTTTCGAAGCCTCATATTCATGTTACAGACATGAAAAAGAGTATACAGACCTACTTACGGGATTCTGGATGGGAGATGAAGGTGCAGAATGCTGTGTATGTTCAGTTAAAGAGGTCAGTATTTTTTGGTTTTCATCAGCAACAAAGTGACATCCTCAGTTAAGCTATAAATTTAAAGCTTCTAAAATCAATTTTTTTTCAACTAAAAGACACCTACATTGCATCCTGTGAGCAGAGTCCCCCATTATCGTCTTGAGCAAGGAGGTGACAAGGAGGCTGTGCCAGAATTGTGTAAAGCCTAAAGTTGAGGTTGCTGCAGTGCAAACTTCTGGACTATAGTCAAATTATCTTGTTTTCTCTCATTAAACTGTTTTTTCGGGTACAAGCATCTGTTTACTGATAACCGATAGTCATAACTGAGCCCACTGTAGCAAGCGCATGGCTATACTAAGCTTGGGTTCAAAACATGGGTCCTAGCAACATGCTGGGCATGCTCAACAAAGATCTTACTTGATTCATGGTGAGTCCTTTCTGAATTCACCAAAATGAAGCAAGCGAAAGAAACTCTGTGCTGGCAGGGTGCCTAAGAAGTTCAGTAATGCTGCAACAAGGATTAGTTGGCAATAATACAGTGTATGTCACCAATAGAACATGGATCAGTCTGCATAGTACTGATGTGGTTTTATAACCAAATGTGTTTTTGGTACTGTGGATTTTCTTGGAGCAATCTGCATTAAGTCTCCTGTGTGAAAGCAAAGTTGTAAATTTTAAGCCTGTACGTGTGTACACTGTATATAGTACCCCGTCAGACTAATGGTAAGGGTCAGTATGATAGGTTGTAATAATTTCATTTCCCTGCCCCTGACATCCAACTCAGTGTTACATATTAATTTTTATCTGTCTACACTGAAGATGCAGTCTGGTGAATGTTCTATGACACAGATAGTACTGATGTGTGCTCGATCACAGACTTAATTCAAATGATTACACAATTACAAAGCCTAGGAGTTATTTCAGAATGTCAATCTCGTGCCTGTAAAATACAATCCTTTTATTGTATTAAAATAGAAACTTGTAGATCACATAACGTGCATTATTTTTCTTCCTTTTGCTTAATGATAATTTGAAAAAAGAAGATTGAGATTAATTCTTTAACCTAGACTGTACTTCTGTACAACACCACAAATATGTACCCACTGGAACATGTAGAACCTAATTTAGTTTTGATTTCATGTTGTCTAAACATTAATGTCCTGTCTAGCCTGTGCCAGGCTTTCAGATAGTATAGTGGGAAAGTATTAAAATGAGCAAAGCGAAAATAAGACGCTTTTTCTGAATGACTTTTCACCACTATTTCGGAGCCTGGATCAGGCTATGTCCTGTCTGAATCCTCAAATTAATGCACACAGTTAGTTTGCAGCTATTTTCATGTGCACTGTAATTAGCAAATTGAATTACCTGTAGCCAGTTGTTACACCGGTAGTTAAGTTCCAAGTTTAATCTCTTTTTAGTTTGCCAGATGTATCATCCATGCCAGAAACTTTACGGGGCCAAGTGAAGGAACCATTAGCATTCATACGCAAGGCACAGAAATTGTAATAATCATATATGTGTAGCCCATGAGGGAAACCTGTATCCACAGATGGTCTACAGTCGACTCTCTCTTAACGGACACCTCTATAAGACGGACACCTCTGTAAAACGGACACTTAGAGTTGGTCCCTGCCTTTCTTTACTCCTTTTGACTCTCTATAAGATGGACACCTCTCTAAGACAGGCACTTAGTGCCGGTCCCAAAGGTGTCCGAGAGTTGACTGTATCATGTAAATTGGGTTTATGGAGTACAACACAGAATCCCCCCAAGCATTAATAATTATTGTTCAGTGTAGAATTAAGGGAATTGCCCACCCACCGATCAAGAAAATAGCCTGTCTCTTTTCAAATTAAGTGTACATGTGTAATGTAATCTTTTTTTATCTGAAATGAATCTTGTCTGTGTAATTCTTGTTTGATCTGACATGATTTTGCTGCATTTTGTTCCTAGATGAACTGGGAGAAGAGGATAGTTAAGAGCATCAACAGTACTGAGTATGTGTACTGAGTTATCACTTCCACTGGCAAGAAAAGTAGGTTTAAAATGTGTAATCTTGTTATTATCCTGCATAATATCACACCCATGATCAATGTAATTGAGAAAGAGAGAAATACTTGTGCTCATGAGTGAAACCCCAAGTAATGAAGCACCAACTTAAGGGATGTCGGCCAAAACATGACTGAATCAACACTTACACAATTTACAATGTATCAACACTTATGCACGTATATAAACAGGACAACTCAGTATTATTTCAAGTTATTATTATGTATACTACAAGCACAGTCACTTATTTTGGGTCCAACAAAGGTTTACTAACCCTTGCATCAGGAACCCGGCCAGACCGGGGTAGACCGGGGTCAAAGCCTGGCCTGAAAGCCGGGGTGAGCCCAGCTTGTGGCCAGGCTTTGGCCACGTTGGCCAGGGGATAAAAAAACCGGGGGAAGCCGCGGCCACAGGACCAGCCTGACCTGGCCTGGCCGCAGTTGGCCGGGGCCAAAATTGAGAAGGAAAAGCAAAAAACATAAATGGTATGCATGGCCTGGACAGGCCGCGGCTGGCCGGGGTCAAAACTGGCAAAGCCTGGCAAAGAAAAGCAGAAATGTTTGGCCTACAATTGGCCTGCACTTGCCGCAGCTGGTGGGGCCAAAAATTGGTCAAGCTTGCCAAGAAACCTTGACCAGCCTGGCCAAGATCAAATTACAGGGCATGCATACTTGTTCAGGGTTTACCTTGAGTGGTCAGTCTTATAGAATATAGTCCACCCAAGCTCAGCCTGAAGCCACAAAAACTTGCACTTTTATTACTATGACTATTATAGCAATGCTGAGTCAAAAGTCAGTTTAAGCATACCAAACTTAGACAACGCATACAGTGTAAATATATATATATATATATATATATATATATACTGTTTTTACGGAAAGGAAATAGGTAAATAAATATTTCATCTTGAATGTTCTCTTGCTAATTCTGGCACATTAGGTAGACCGATTTTAAGATCAAATTATACATCAGCTGCTTACAGCGTTAGCAAACTATTTCTGACATGTGAATTCAAATTGTAGTAGCATAATTTTTTTATTGATTGGATTTCTTGACGATACTATTAATCACTGGATAGAAAGGTAAGATGCCTCTGACTTCCGTGACCCCGGAGTGCAATGTGAGAAGTGAAACATCAGTTACTGTGCCCAGTAGGCTGAATACTCCAATTGTCCTTTGACGGTTGAACAATTTGACCCTGCCAGCCCGCGCCGGTTTGAAATTGTCGACTTGACGGTTGGAGTCCGTTGCGGGTCTGCTCTCGACTCGCCTAGCCTCGGCCGTGTATTGTCCACTTCGTTGGCGATTTAGGACCTTCGAAATGGGAATTTTGGCGATGTGAATGATGGAAAATGTGCTTTACTTATCAGGACATCTGTTTCTGGCGGAATTGTCTCCATGTCGCAAATGCTACGGAATTTATCGCCGCTGAGAGCGGAGCCAGTCAAGAGAGGTTTGCCAACCTTCTCTTCTCTTCTCTCTACTGTCATCTGGGTGAAAAACTGTCGCTCAAAAAAAGGCATTAAACAGTGCCTAGGAGTTCTGAAATGCAGTCAGAATACAAAGGAAGACAAGAAGACGCTAAAGGTAAGCTTCAAAGCGATATTCAATGTACATTTTGCTAATTTAGTGAGTAAAGAATATTTCTCCATACAACGTCTTATAATTTTCTTGCTGTATGAATAATTAATTAGCTTGATGGGTAGTGTTGTTGTCGGGTTCTTGGCATCCTAAGAAGCCTGAAACGCAGTCAACACACAAATAAATGTAACAAAATACTAAAAGGAAAAATTTAATGTACGTTTCGCTCAATTATGGAGAAATTGGATAATTTTCATACAACGTCTTATTACTGTTGCGTATGAATAATTAATTAGCTAAGTAGGATAATGTTGTTCAGGGCTCTCATAGTAAGCTTGGGCTACCTGTGTTGCTTGTAAAGTCCGCTTGAATTTGAACTAATCAACGGACGTTCATTTTACACTTTTCTATTGGTGCAAAAGCCGCACGTGACAAAGTAAATCAAATCGCGCATGTGCGAAAGACACGTGGAAGCGTGGGAACAAAAAAACATGGCGGCTAATCGAGAACGTGCGGTTGATTAGAGTATTCCAACGCATTTTAATTGTTAAATGCAAGAGGAAAACTTAAGTTGCGAAAGAAAATGCTGGACTACATTATAAATCCAAGTTGCGACGAAAAACGTGTCGTAGAGGTTGTTCATGTTGGACATTTATAGCTCACAGGTACGGAAAACTGACTGAACTGAAGACACCTTGAACACACCAAGACAACGCCATTGCTTTAATGAAATCCAAGTACAACTCTAGCATGATAGAATGAGAAGGACTTAAATCATTTACATAGCTCTTTTATCATTATAAAGACACTGTACATCTAACAATAATCATGCAAAGGTTTAGTCTGCATGGTGTCAAATTTTAAGGAACAGTAATCTTCATGTTCAAGTGTGATATTATAATGTTTAAGTTGCTACATAGATAATTGTCTGTTGAACCATAGCATCATCGTATTTTACAAGACACCATCAAGGCAATTTTAAAGGTTGTAACGTGGACTGAATGGGCAGAAGACCATAAAAATAGATGCCTGAGCTCCAGCACAAACAGTGCAGGCCTTCATTTTCATGAAGGAGTAGACAAAATAAAAGAAAGCGTTAAAAATACCAAAATAGAAAACCTACAAAATGGGCAGGAAAAGTATGGCGGGAAAAAAATCGTGTAGGTGTACAGTTGGGGCAAAAATTAAGAAAAAATAATAATTTCCTCAAACTTTAGTTTGAAATTGCTTTGAACGGTTATTTAGATAAATGTCTGACCTGAAACAGTTTACATTTGCCTAAAGAAGCATTAAATGCTTTGCGCAAACTGATATAATTTACAATCGTAACGAACTTTTGAAACACCCTGTATTTATTTTCTTATTACCATATATTAACTTGTTACGCAAAATTCCTTTTAAGAGCCTTTCTCTGGTTCTGAAGGAGAATAACCAGTAAAGGAAACTAACTAACCAACGTTCAGTAAAAGGAACACACTTTTACACAGCTATTTTTAAGTTACTTGGTTCTTTGAAGCTAAAAAACCAAAAGTCAATTACTAAAGATGTGGAAATGTTCACTTAAAGGATAAGCATCTTCGAAGGGACGTCAAGTTCGGAGACAAGATGTCCCGCTCAACACATGAAAGGAGAAATTCTTAATGTAAAATGTTCCAGAACCTAGAAAGCTTCCTACAACGATATATATCAGTATTTATGTCGAATTAATCAGATACCATTGTCAGAAATCAATCGGATTCCATTTTCCATGCTTTATCTTTTCGTATTTTAAACGTTGTTTATTGGCGTCATATTTTACTTATTCCGCAAAGGACACATTAAGCTAAATCAAGTCAAATATCGGTTTCATTTTAAAGATCATTGGAAAGATATGTAGAACTTCCATCAAGGTATAATATTTTTCATAAATCGGGGAGATACGTCCCGTGACAACATTATTCTCTCGCAAAAAGCTTTTTGGCAAATATTTAGTCTTAATGCGTCGAAACCAAAGAAACGCTTCATACGATGATTAATCGGTGAAAATGGTAACGTACAGAAAAGTGTTTGAGATTCGCTGACGCACAGGTATAATTGTTTGGCATCGGTACCTTCTATGTTTTGAAATAAACGTTCTTCAAGCTAAAGGCGTTGTCTTGCCTCATTTTGGACAATGACTTTGGTAGGAAAGGTCATGTGCGAAGTTTCGAGAAAAAGCAGCCCACCTCTGACAGCTTAGGTCATACGAGACGTTTCGAGAAAATCAGCCCATAACTGAAATATTGGAAAACCAATGAGTACGTGAGCTGAGCAGGCTGAATAGTATGGAACAGTATTCCTGACAGTGATCGCGCTCTACCTAAATATAAATTTAAGAATACCCTACAGAGTCGGCTGCTGGACATTTTGATACAGGAGGATACTTATGTTGGCGTGCGTACTTTATTTGACATATTTAGTAAATATTAAATTTTTATTTTAATTTCATTCATACCTTGTTTCATTTACCTGTTTTGAAATAAATGTGTTTTCAGTCTTGTTAATTTAATATGTTGATGTTCGTGTATCTGTTTAACTTTATTGCCATGTTTCAACCCTACTATTGTAATTATTTTTACTTTTTCTTCCTGCCTCGATTAGCTATAGGCTACTTTGTGGGCAAGGATTAATTATTGCATGTGTGCAAAGTGTTTTTAATAAACGTGAACTTCAACAAAATAATAATAATTGGAATCTCTAATAATAATAACAATAGAAATCTGAATTTGTGTTTGGACTGTATTTCGTTACCCTAACAGCTGAATTTCTTGTTAGATACATACAGACGGAGATACGAATCCTCCATTGCCTTGTACCAAATATACGTTTCTTCAAAATCCGACCGGGCCATAACCTAGTC